CACACAAGCTTCCCACAGCCATGAGTACCCAGACCCCTGTCTGTTCTCCCCACCAGACTCAGGAGTCTCTGTATGGCTGGTGGCTGGGAACAGACGCAAGCTGGTGCAGCTGTTATGTATGTCCAAAATGGGTCCTGCTATCAGCTTGTTACAGGACACCACTGCAGGATGAATGGGGAGAGAGAAACGTGCCCCCCACTTTGTTTTTTTCTTCTCTAGTTTGGCAGGTACACTATCCCCCATAGGGTTCCAAGCTGGATTCCCTCTTGGCTCTTCTTGCAGCTTTTTGCCATCAGCTTGAGCTGCTAGAGTCTGGTCTCACCTCACTTTCCAATGCTGGTGCAGAGGCTCTTGGCTGCTGGGGTCCTGAGTTGTGCGCATCCATGCCCTCCACATATATCTACTGTGTCCCTCTAATACACGTAGTTTCCTCTGCCTCCCTAACTCTTCCCTGAGACTACACTCTTTCCAATTTTTTAAAACTATCTTATCCTAGACTTGTTCTATATTTTATGTAGTATTTTACTTAAAAATTCTCCACTGCTTAGCAATATGGTTGTTTTAATTTTTCCAAAAGTATAATTTGGGTAAAGGGGAGTTTTGAGTCTACCTGGGATAAGAGATACAAGGGACTTTGGGCATGAGTAGGATTCCACACACTGAGTCTAAGAGTGTCCATCAAATAAGGAGAGATTATCTTGTTCCAGTTTAAGGCCTGGGGGTTTTAGGAGAGAAGGTCTTGGGGAATTCAATGATCTCCCTGATGTTAGCAGAAATTGAGCTATTTGGGGCACTCTTTATATCACGAGACTGCATTAGACGAAAGTACTCACACAATCAGCCTTCACTGTCATCATCTTTCCAAAGAATTTCTTATTGATTCCTCCCTAGAAACAGCCACAAGCTTGGGTTGACCAGATGGCTGTCTAATGGTCATGTATAAGCCATTCTTCCTAAAGCCTGCTGGAAGAGCTGGTCCATCTACAGGGTCAAGCCCTTTCCACTGGGAAAGAAGCATCATGATTCTCAGAAAAGTTGTTGGAAGCAGCACCACTAGTACAGATGGGACAGGAGCAGAGTCAGAAACAGTATTTCTTCCCTGAAGTCAATTCTCTCTTTCCAGCTCCGCCTAAATTCAGCTCTTCCTTCTAAGTTCTCTAATTTAATGCAGGCTCCATTATCTACTCATCATTGAAATCACATGCCTAGATTTCAGAGACTACCACATGGCTTGAATTCTGCTGAAGGAATGCTTGGCCAGACTGAAAGTTGATCGGACAAGTTATGTTAACAATGGCAAAGATCATTTGACATGATGCTGATGCAGCTAAGGAAATGTTATGGGATCTGTTTAACAGCAAGTGGAATGTTCATTCCAGTTAATAATGAGCCCCCCTCAAGTTTCCTCCCCATTGTGCTGTTCTCGTAATGCTCGCTTCCAAACAAACAAGTCTTTCCTCTAAACCCTGAAACTCCCCATTGTTCCCTATTTCACTATGTTGAAACTTCCTCATTATGAAATCCTGTTCTCACAAAACTGCACGTTTTATGATTAATCGATCATGTCACTATTGATAATAAATACTTGATTATTTGATAATAAATACCAGACCTCTTGGCCTCTGCTTCTACCTCCACCTTTGGCAGTAGACAGAGTGTCCCCTGTTTTTCTCACATTAAAATCTCTAATCTGAGTCTGCTTCCTTAACCTATGAGATGTCATTCCTCTTTTGTTTACCCCGACACCCACAGTGCTGGACGCAGCAGGTCTTGCTGATTCTGACTAAATATTTCCAGATTCCCAGAGGAATATTTTCATAACAGAGAGCCTAACCCATGACCAAATATTAGCAAGTGGTCAAAGAAATTAATGAATAAGTAAATTAATGATAAAAAATTTCTACATGAAGATGGAAAACTTTAGATATTTATGAGTATATTTAGTACTAGACACTTTCATGTAGATTAAGCTTCAATTAAAATAATTATGACAAATTACAGTTGGCTTCAGAATGTTTATATGTGGCACATAGGAAGAGTAAAATAGGACTGGTGATATCTACAACTTCCAGTAATGATTTGGTTTTTTGTTTGTTTGTTTGTTTGTTTCTGTCTGAAAACAAGATTCAAATTTTTAGAGCTCCTGTAAAATATTGTGATCTGGTTTCTCTAACAAATATCAAAGGGAAAAAGAAAAGAAGGTGAAACTACAGAGAACCGAGCGGACTTCAGAGACATAATAAGCAAATGTAAGAAGAGGGTCTTGTTCCTGATGTGAACAATAAAGGGCTGAAAAAAATGAGACAAATAAGGAAATCAATCTAATTTCTGACTCAATATTTTATAGTATTAAAGAACTGATGTTGGCCGGCGCCGTGGCTCACTAGGCTAATCCTCCGCCTAGCGGCGCCGGCACACCGGGTTCTAGTCCCGGTCGGGGCGCCGGATTCTGTCCCGGCTGCCCTTCTTCCAGGCCAGCCCTCTGCTGTGGCCAGGGAGTGCAGTGGAGGATGGCCCAGGTGCTTGGGCCCTGCACCCCATGGGAGACCAGGAAAAGCACCTGGCTTCTGGCTCCTGCCATCGGATCAGCGCGGTGCGCCGGCCGCAGCGCGCCGGCCGCGGCGGCCATTGGAGGGTGAACCAACGGCAAAGGAAGACCTTTCTCTCTGTCTCTCTCTCTCACTGTCCACTCTGCCTGTCAAAAATAAAAAAAAAAAAAAAAAAAAAGAACTGATGTTATTTTTCAGGTGTGATCATGGAGCTGAAAAAAAGGGTCCTTGAAGGCCAGTATTGTCGTGCAATGGGCTAAGCCGCTGTGGGGGATGCTTGCATTCCATATTGGTGTGCCAGTTTGAGTCTCGCCTACTCCACTTCTGATCCACTTCCTGTTATTGTGCCTGGGAAGCAGTAGCCCGTGGCTCGAATAATAGAGTCCTTGCTCCTACATGAGAGATCTATACGGAGTTCCTGGCTCCTGGCCAGAGGTTGGTCCAGCCTCAGCTGTTATGGCCATTTGAAGAGTAAACCAGTGGATGAAAGATCTCTCTCTCTTTCTCTCTGTTACTCTGCTTTTCAAATAAATAAATTTTTTTTAAAAAAAAATCCTTATATTTCATGGAAATATAATGAAGTACTAACAAATCATTCAAGATCATGTCTAGGATTTGCTTTAAATGGGTCAGAATGGGTGGGAGGATAAAAATGAAGGTAAGAAAACTAGCTTAGGCTGCCCTTGACCTGACCACACATGTCCTCCTCCATCTGGAGACCCTTTCTCCACCACATGCCTACATTCTGTACTGTTTCCACTTCAGCTCCTGGCAATAACTACCTCAGTTACTAATTCAGAGGTAGCAGGAGCTTGGGGCCAGATCTAGACTCTTTTCTATAGTTGGATCTGATAGCCTATGTTACTTTGTACCACACAAAAGATACCATACATGCATTTAACAGGCTTAATTTAGCTTAGTGGATTTCCAAAGTTTTCTCACTGTCAATAAACCTGTTCTCAAGTAAAATCTTGCATAAAACTTCTATAAATAAACATGAGAATGGAGCACCTCTTAACTGATGAGCACTGCTCAGCCCATCCCAGCCCTGTGAGTAAACCTCAGTACTCAATGGTTCTGCAGAAGAGAATGTGAAAAACCACACATCTACGGGACCATCTTTGGCTGGTTTTTATGAGACAAAGGGCATGTTCTAACTTCTCTCATATTCTATTAATAAACTAATCGATCCTCCTTTCATTATTTTCCAATCTATAGGCACATTGGTCAAATCACTTTGGATAGTTTGATGAGCAAATCATATTCACCAGGGGTCCAGGATCCCAAAACAAACCCAGAGAGTTAAGGGAGAGGGGCAGAAAGACTGGAATGTCCCATTAGATGTGTCCTTGGCATGGTTAACTGAAAGTTTTGAGACCAGCCAAAAAGGCCAGTTTCTAGGTAATAGAAAGCTGGGCTCGAAAAAGGAGGCAAACTGGGAACTAGGGGAGGAAGTAAAGGCAAAGCCAAAAGTCCAAACTTTTGGGTCTGGATCAGAAGAAAGCAAACTAACTTCAGGAGGGATCTCCACAGAGTAAACAGGGCTGGCATGTGGTCTGGATACATAGGGCTCAGTATCATCTCTGATACCTTTCAGAGATGCCAGTCCCAATCCCCTCACAGCCTTCATGTGTGGTTTGGTGTCTCTGAGGTGGCGAGGAGCTCAGATCTTCAGGAATTAGACTACCCATGCAGCAGTTTCCTCAACCCATCTCATCTCTCACTAAACTACCTTCCAGAGTAGTCTGAAACTGTGGCTGTTCCTTAGACTCACCTGGGAGCTTTTGAACTTGGCCAACGTGCAGATGCTATGGTTGTGAACCACTGTTCTCAAAGACGAAGCTTTCTTGTGCTCCCAGGGTGGGACCAGGGAGAAGAGAGAGGCGCAGGTACCCTGTAAATTGCTGGGCAAATGGCAGCTTCCTGTCCCTAGTAGCCTCCTTTTCACACATCGTACCACCCCAACCAGGGCAACCATCACTGAGGGGTGGTGTGCGAACTCGAATCCAATTCCAGGAAAGGACCAACATAAAAAAGGGTCCAAATCTGAGCATAAAGACCTGGGTGCAACTCTGGACTTAGGAAATAGAGGAACTATCAGATGAAAACCCTGAGCACATCCCTGGGGAGCAGGTGGGATGAAGAAGTTCCAACAAAGTACAAACCCCAGGGCTGCTAAACAAGGTAAAAGGGAAAGCCAGGCGCATGACTGGCTGCACTGTGGCTTCTGGCAAGGCTGACTCATCTGGCTCAGGGTTTAGGTTGTGTTATGCCCTGACCCACCCACTGAAAACAGCTCCATCGATGCCATTTCCAGCATTGATAACAAGGCCTAATCAGAGAGGTCCCAGCAGGAAAATCATGTAACCTGGATTAATCTGCTTACTATTGCTATGCCAGAATATCTGAGATTGAGTGTTTTCTAAAGAAAAGAGGTTTCTTTTGGCTCACAGTTCTGAAAGCGGGGAAGTTCGAGAGCTGGCATATACCAAAGGCCTCATGCTGCATCATAACATGGAAGAAGAGAGCAGAAGGACCAAGTGGGCACCTGTAGGAGAGACCAAATATTAATGATAATCTTGCTTTTTTTTAACTTGTATTTAGCAAATATAAATTTCCAAAGTACAGCTTGTAGATTACAGTGGCTTTTCCCCCCCATAACTTCCCTCCTGCCCGCAACCCTCCCAACTCCCGCTCCCTCTCCCATTCCATTCACATCAAGATTCATTTTCAATTATCTTTATATATAGAAGATCAATTTAGCATATATTAAGTAAAGATTTCAACAGTTGATAACCTTGCTTTGTAACAACCTTTTCCGGCAGTAATTAGCCCAGTCCCATACGACAGAGAACTCTCTCCCTCCTGCCCTCCCTCCAGACAGCACTTATTTTTAACAAGGGCGCTGTCTTTCATAACCCAAGCACTTCCCTCGGGCTCCAACTTCCAGCACTGCCACACTGAGGAATTAAGCCTCCACATGAGGACGAACCACATTCAAACCATCACACACCCCAAACAGGCAAATGGGGGAAGATTAACAAGAGAGCCAGCTACATAAGACAGGACAGGGCTAAGAAAAATCAGTAAGATGGGGGGCTTCCTGTTTCTAAAGGGTCCAGGGGAGGAAGCAGGAGGCAGGTCCAGACGGCATAGCCCTGGGAAGGAACTCTCAGGTACAGTAGAGGGAACTGGGCAGTTTATAGAGACTGGGCAAGGGCGGAGCCCAGAAAATAAAAGCCCCCACTAACCTCACTGACCTCCAGTATGGCCTAGGAGTGACTAATCCTTCAGTTTGGGTCCCAGATGGGAAGACAGATGTGCATGGAATACATCTGCAGTGTCCCCATACCTGTGATGAGTCACAGAACCACAGATGTGCCTTGGACCCTCAACCGACTTACCACATTAGACAGAAATGGGTATTTGTTGCAAGAATCCAAGGTTGTTGGCTATGCCACGTTGTTCACTGAACGCTCCTTAAGTCT